GGGGGGGGAGGGGGCGGGCGGATGGAGAAAGGCCTAATCTGCCTTTGACCCCTGTCCCCTCCACCACCATCCACCCACTCCAGAGCCGCTATCGCCCTACACTCAACCGCCTCTCCCACGTGTTCTGTTGCCGGGCGAGATCCGCGCCAAGCTGATATAAAGGGCCCAGGATGTCTGTTCCCCTCAACAGAGCCAATCACGGCTCAGAGTCCAGCTGGGAGGCGGCCCAGGGACACAGGGTCCACTGTGATACCCGAGACGGTAGTGGGACAGAGAGCCCCAGGATCGGCCCCCACATCTCGGCTAGAACAGACAGCTGGACAGCGAGTGCCCACAGCCCAGGGCGCTTCTCCCCGGCCGCGCAAGCTCCGGGCCAGGGTCGCGGGGCCTGGGACAAGATGTACGGCGAAAGTTAGGACAGGACGGCGGGAGTCCCGGGCTGGAGAAGGGAGAGGGGTCACCTCAGAGCCAAGCGCCAGCACTGGCACTACCAAAAACCGCGAACACACCTTCGCCTGTCCCGGGCGGCCTCGGGTGAGGCCAGAGCTGGTGTGCAGAAGCAGCAGCCAGCAGCTGGGGTTGCAGCCGACACCAGAGCTCGGCTGGGTCCCCGCAGCAAAGCGGATCGTTTCACCGGAGCCGCCCGAGGCTCCGATCCCGCACTCCCGGACACACGCACGCACACACCTTCGCACGATCAATGACGCACGCACACACACTCTCCAAGAGCACAGAACAGGCCGGTGCCCACCGGCTGGGGATACGCGCCATGGGGCGCGGGGGCCCCTTGATAGGAAGCCAAGGCCGCCTCTAACTTCCCCCCTCGTCCCCGCCCGCCACAACCCGCCCCGAGTCCCAGCTGTGAACGCGCGGGAAAGCCCCGGTGCCCAGGGCGCTCCAGCCCGGCCCTCTCGGCGCTCGTGGCTCTGCGCCCGACGCTGCTTCCCCGCGCCCAGCACCCAGGGCCGGGAGTAGGAGCGGGGGGCTCTCAGGGGCCAAGCGAGCCCGAGGGGCGGCAGTTCACAGACACGCGGCGGTGAGTGAGATACAAGGAGCGAAAGTCTAATTAAAGTTCCAGCTACTGAGGCCGGTCCCCAAAGTGCGGCCAGACTGGAGCCCGTGCTCCCCACCTCCGCCGCAGCTTCGGACTCCTCGGGTCACGGGGTTGGCTCGCAGTGCAGCCCAGGGCCCGCCCGGGACCCCTCGGGGAGTCCCTTGGGGCCGGAAACCTGCGCGGGGAGAGGACCGGGTGGGGACAGGGCGCAGCCACTTACCTGGCGCAGCCCACGCTCTCGAGGTCGCGGGCGCCTCCAGTTCGGGCGCGATCGTCCACAGCGAATCCTCCGCTCGGGGCCCCCGGGCTGCAGGGAGGATCTCCGCCCCAGCTCGAGCGGAACCCGGTGCGGTCGGTGGGCGAGCGGCGTGGGGCAGGCGGCCGGAGCGCGCGGTAGAGCAAGAGGGAGCGGTGGCCCGTTCCTCCTCTGGCCCAGGCCCGGTCCGTCCCCCGCCTCGGCCGCCGCCGCCTTGTCCTCTCTCCTCGCCGCAGCGCCGCCGGATCCAGCTCGTAATAACTTCGTATAGCATACATTATACGAAGTTATCCGGCCGCGCAAGCTCCGGGCCAGGCTCGCGGGGCCTGGGACAAGATGTACGGCGAAAGTTAGGACAGGACGGCGGGAGTCCCGGGCTGGAGAAGGGAGAGGGGTCACCTCAGAGCCAAGCGCCAGCACTGGCACTACCAAAAACCGCGAACACACCTTCGCCTGTCCCGGGCGGCCTCGGGTGAGGCCAGAGCTGGTGTGCAGAAGCAGCAGCCAGCAGCTGGGGTTGCAGCCGACACCAGAGCTCGGCTGGGTCCCCGCAGCAAAGCGGATCGTTTCACCGGAGCCGCCCGAGGCTCCGATCCCGCACTCCCGGACACACGCACGCACACACCTTCGCACGATCAATGACGCACGCACACACACTCTCCAAGAGCACAGAACAGGCCGGTGCCCACCGGCTGGGGATACGCGCCATGGGGCGCGGGGGCCCCTTGGTAGGAAGCCAAGGCCGCCTCTAACTTCCCCCCTCGTCCCCGCCCGCCACAACCCGCCCCGAGTCCCAGCTGTGAACGCGCGGGAAAGCCCCGGTGCCCAGGGCGCTCCAGCCCGGCCCTCTCGGCGCTCGTGGCTCTGCGCCCGACGCTGCTTCCCCGCGCCCAGCACCCAGGGCCGGGAGTAGGAGCGGGGGGCTCTCAGGGGCCAAGCGAGCCCGAGGGGCGGCAGTTCACAGACACGCGGCGGTGAGTGAGATACAAGGAGCGAAAGTCTAATTAAAGTTCCAGCTACTGAGGCCGGTCCCCAAAGTGCGGCCAGACTGGAGCCCGTGCTCCCCACCTCCGCCGCAGCTTCGGACTCCTCGGGTCACGGGGTTGGCTCGCAGTGCAGCCCAGGGCCCGCCCGGGACCCCTCGGGGAGTCCCTTGGGGCCGGAAACCTGCGCGGGGAGAGGACCGGGTGGGGACAGGGCGCAGCCACTTACCTGGCGCAGCCCACGCTCTCGAGGTCGCGGGCGCCTCCAGTTCGGGCGCGATCGTCCACAGCGAATCCTCCGCTCGGGGCCCCCGGGCGGCAGGGAGGATCTCCGCCCNGGGATGGGGACCGCGCCGGTCTCCCGGGTCCCTGAGAGCCAGACTCCTGTCTGCCGCTTGGCTCCAGACTGCTGCCGGAGTGCTGCCACTGCCTCGGTGGGTCGAACCCGGCGCCAACCCGGGAAAAGGACAAGGCGTCACCGGGGCGGGAGTCGACCACAGCTGGGCAGAGGCGCGCGCCCAGGACTCGACGCTGCGGGGGCGCGGAGCCAGTGAAAGGAAGACGATTGATCCCTAAGGAGATTCTGAGAGGTTCCGGGGCTGTGGTTTCGCGTGGAATTTGGCCAAGGCCTTAGGCAACCTCAGGCCCCTGTGTCTGCACCCATCCTCAAATTCCTAAAGCTCTGGATTCTGCTGAAAGTGCCCTATGACACTGGCTCTCCCTGAGGGCTTCACTCTTGAAGTCCCTGTGGGGTCACCAGTCTGAGAGCTGAGCCAACCGACCCCTCCCCATACACACCCCCAGTAACAGAGTGGGGATGTGACCAGTCCACAGCCACGCAGCACCAGGGCAGAGCAGATACATGAACGGGGGGGGGCTCTGGATTCCCAGCCTTGTTCTTCCTAAGAAGAGGCAACCCCGACCTGCAGGGGGCAAGCAGGCACTGGGAACAAGGGCAGGCTGATTCTCACAGGAACTATATGAAACTGTATAAATCAGTCACCTCTTAGTCTTGAAGGGACACCAGTATTTTTAAAAACCTGCAGAGAAGCCCTTAGCAAAATAAAGTGAAAGATCCTCACTCTCCTTTCTGTAATTGTATCTGCTGATTGGTTGACCCGACTCCAAGGGTATCAGAGTGAACCCAGAGTGAGAGATGGAGTTGGGGAGTGGGATGGACCTGTAGCCCCAGAGTGACCAGAGAAGGGGTGGGGCAGCCCTGGCAGGGAACAGAGCCACTCCTGAGGACTTGCAACAACAAAGTAGGCCTTATTATTCCCATTTTACAAATGAGGAAATGAGGAAACTGAGGTACAAGCATGCCTCCAAGTTGCCGGAGTTCACACACCTGGAGGATGGCAGAGCCAGGATCGGGCCAAGGTATGCTGACTCCAAAGTGGAATAGGTTTGGTGCTAGGATTCCCTCTCCAGCACTCTAAGCTCAGACAGTCCCAGACCCAGGGCTGTGCCGGGCCCAGCTGTGCTCCACTGGCTGCACGTGTTAGTTCTGTGTTTGTGGAGTGAGGGTGGGGAGGAGCTGGAGTGTATGTGCGTGGCTGAAATTGTCCTGCTCCATAGGAGCTGGAGTGTATGTGGTGGCTGAAATTGTCCTGCTCCACCTCAGTCAGGTGCAGATTGGAGGAGCTGAATGCAAGGATTCAAGTGTCCAGAAGAACAGGGCAGAGGAATCCTTATTCATTCCGTGTTTAAAAGCTGTCAGAGTAGGGCAGCAGGAGAGAAGATGGGAACAAAGAAGGAGAGGGTGGAGTGAGCAGAAAGCTACTTGCCCAACTAGCCCAGAGTGCAATGACCCCCTCCCTGTCCCTGTGGCCCCCTTGCCCATGCACCTCCCACCCCTCTCACCACCCAGGATCCTGGCCACAGCGTGGCTACGCTGCTGCCAAAGAGCTTCCTGTCTGCATTTGGGCCTGGGGCACAGCACACGACTTTGGCCACAGAGGCCTGGTTGTCAAGAGAACCTCCTCAGTACCACACACACTACAGAGGGCAAAGGCACACACTCACACACACATGCACACCCATACACGCACGCACGTGCACGTACTGGACAGCGACGAGAGAATGGGAGTTCGCATTCCCAGAGCCCAGTCTCAAAGCTGGGAGGAGGCTCCGGACTGTGAGTACTTCCATGGAACGAGTCTACACAGGCTTTATCATGACCAGTGTGTGGGGCTGGTCAGGTCATTTCACCTGCCCCGCGCATCTGTGTGCAGTAATCCTCCTGGGAAGGGTGGTTTTTCCATTAGCTTTTCCAACTGTACTATTAGCACTTATTTGCATCTAACATTCAGGCAGACACCACCAGGAATCAACAATGCTGCATTCCTTTGACATTCTCTACATTTTCAGTTTTTCACTCAGGCTTCCTTCTTGCTTTGAGAGGCTCTCAGGGAAATCCCCAAAGGGTGCCTGAAACCCCTGGCCTCAACATGCGGTGAATTTTCTTCTGGGATTTGCCAAGGGCTGTGTGCCCTTTTTTGAAAGTCAGGCTCAGCCTCTGCAGTGAGGGAGGAGGAGGAACGCTGCAAATCCCCGGCATGAAGCCCTGTGTGCTCACTTGCAGTTTTTGATATGTGTGTTTCCACCAAAAGATTAGTGGCAAACTTGTCTCTTTGCATCCCAACTAAGATAAAAAGACATTTTCATTGGATGGCCCCGTGAGTCCACAACCTAAGCCCCAGAAGAGCTAATAGAGAGGTTCAGAGCCACCCTGTTTGCTGCAACAGGGGTGTGAGAGGGAAGAGGGGGCTTGGATCTGGGCCACAGGCAAACCCTTTCCTTCACCAGCTCCCCACCATTCCTGCAAGTGAAAATTCCTGCCCACCTTTGGGCTGGGGGCCGAAGGTAGCACAGCAGGGAAGCCGAAACTGCCTCACATTGTGTTTGAAAAGGGGCACATAAACCCATTGGCAAAACAGAGTCTCAAGTCCGAAACCTTCCATTCTGTTGCTGTGAGAAGAATCAGAGTGCTGTTCTCCTGAGGGGAGTGGGAGCCATCTGTAGTGGCAGGTCAGTAACACCTCTTCTGTCTCCCTGTATCCCATGGGAGAAAGGAGAGAATAATGGGATGGACCACGAGGTCTGTTGGAGCTCTTCAGTTTCTAGCTGGTGGTCTCGAGCATGTCTCCTAGCCCCTCAGAGCTTGTCTCCCCTTTGCAAATGGGGACAACAGATTCAGCCCTGCATGGGTAAGGTGAAGGGTGTGAAAGCACTGCAGCCCTGGGGCCGGCCTGCCCTGAGCCACCCCCAGACCAACCACCTTACTACCTGGCCAAGCATCTGGTCGTGTAATGGCCTCTGAAATGTTGTGACCCCAAGGTTTCCCGAAGTCGGGTCAACACACAGATGGGCCAGTGATGTGGTGATCAGAGCACTGTCCAGGTGGGAGACTCTCCCCTGGGAACATTGCTGCCTTCCCCAGCTGCCTCCCCTGGGGCCCTGGCTGGGCTCAGGGCCAAGGCCTTCTCTTCACAGGCCTCATCTTCCCCATTTGAACAATGAGGGTCCTGAAGTCCAGGTTCCTGAGCCTCCCTTCCAGGCCTGAGTTGTGTTCCTTACCCAGGAAGGATGCCAGAACTGTTTCTGGCCAAGGTGTCTCTTGGACACCTTATTGGATAAATGTTCCTTCCCAGTCTTTTCCCTCCACTCCCCAGGGTCTTTCTCCTTTTCTGTCACTCCTTGGTTTTCCGAGGAGCTAGAGGATCTCTTTGTTTCCTTCTTTGTTAAGTCGCCTGAAATTTCCTGACATCAGCATGCCTGTGTGAGAATCCCCTGCATCAGAAATGCTGCTGAGCAGCCTGCCAGTCCTGACTGCTGCCCCACGTGCACGCAGTCTGGCACAAGGCTTTTTCCAAGTGAGAAATTTACTAGGAGCATATTCACCTCTTAATTTAAATATTTCTTATTTATTTATTTATTATTTTTAAAGATGATTGGTAAAGGGATCTTAACCCTTGACTTGGTGTTGTCAGCACCACGCTCTCCTAAGTGAGCTAACCGGCCATCCTTATATAGGGATCTGAA